TCTACTCTGAGAGTGTATTTGGGTTATGGTACTTGTTGCTAACTTGGAGGCTTAGAAGTCTAACTTCTCAAAATAGAAAATTGGCAGCCTTTTTCTGACCCTGAAATATCATTTAAAATATTAATGGTCCTTGAAATCCCCAAATCTAGGAACCCAGGTATATAGAAAGTTATGAGATTGGAAAGTAATAATAATCTGAGCTTTCAAAGCATATATGTGGAAGAATGGCAAAGATATCTCCATCCTACCTGCATGAAGGTGGAGAAACATCCGTTTATCTCCTTGCCTACATATCCCATCTAGGAGATGATCTGATCTAGTGCAATAGATCAGACGGAAGCTTCAAACTTGGGTTTGAATCTTAGGTCATCCATTTAATGGCTGTGAATGAGATGTGCTGACCCTCTGACCACAGGTTCCTTATGAAGTGTGTTTATTTATAGAGTGATTGGAATCATATGTCAACATAACTCAACTCATGAAACTGTGATGCCAGAGCCGAGCACACAGCTGAGAAACATGATTGCCATTATTATCTCATCTGAGAATAGACTTGATCTTTAATTATTTTAATGCAAGAAGGGATGGAGGGACTTAGGGACTGGCAAGGTTAGGTGGGAGCTAATCTAGCCACAGGCAGACCCCAGGGAACTTGGACGATGGTGACATATTGATAATAGTCTGGATTAATGATCAGATTTTGAGTTTTCAACAAAAGAAAGTAGAGAATGTCTTGACGATGGCAAAATCCAGAGATAGACTACTCTTGGGTCTTTCAAAATGTACCCCTAGGGTAGTCTCATGGTGGACACCAGGGCCTGGGAACTTGGGCTGGATTCCAAGAGCTGGGAGTCTTTAGAAGTGCAGAGGAATAAGAATTGGTGAGGGGAAAAATGAGTAACATTTTTTCCTAATACTAGAGCAGAGGTTGAAAATGGGAATCAGAGGCTAAATCTAGGACATAGATTATTTTTCTTTGGCCCATTTTTTCTTTTCCTTTTCAAAATTATTATTATTATTATTATTATTATTATTATTATTATTGGAACCGGAGATTCAACTCAGGCCCTTGCACTTGCCAAGCAAGCATTTATTCTACTGAGCTATCTCCCTGACCCTCAAAATTATTTTTTATTGGGCAGAATATACACCAATAAAATTTACCATTTTGTTCATTCTGTCTTTTTAGTGTTAACAATTTTCTTTTATGTGTACTGTTTCTAAATGTGAGACATTTTACACTTAAAAAAAGGAAAAAAATTTCAGGTGTTTAGTTTCTCAGGGAAAAGTGAAAGATCAAGTCTTACATTTCTCCACAAGAAAACCACTTGAACTAAGCAAGAGCTGCCCCTACTACAAGGGCACCCGCTCCTCATTCAGCATGGCTCTTGGAGAACTGGTGTCATCTTTATTCCCCTGGGCGGGCCTTGCGTGCAGTCAGATTTGCTGCCTGCATTGGGGCAGCTGAGCAGCAAGTCAGTGTGTGACCGAGACAGTGATTCACAAGGGCAAAGCCAACCTTGCATGCAGAGCAGGGGCACACATGCAGGCCTGGGGAGGAGACAAGCATTCTGCTCACTGCTCAGCCAGCTTGCGATGATGACTCTTTTGCTCCAGAGCCCTAAGTGATTCCTGCTTTGAGCCTTCCTGACTCGCTGACCAAGTGGTACACACAGCTGTGGCCATTCTGAGTTTCTCGGTTTCAGACTTTAGGTTGAAGCTGTTGGTACTAAAGTGCTTTCCCTGTCTCCTTTTCAGGGTTTTTGAGTGCTGTATTGAGCATTTCTCCTATAAATTCAAATCACATAAGAGCAGTGGTCATCACCTTACACTGGTCCTTCGTTATCTTACATGTTGAGATCACTTTAGCTGAGCATTGTTCACCTACAGAGTTAGCCAGCAGTTTCTCCACCCTAGAGAAATCTACTCTGAGAGTGTATTTGGGTTATGGTACTTCCAGAGTTAGACTCCAGTTTTGATTCCTGCAGAGTGTACGGAATCCAAGACATGAGGCTAAATAGACTGATGTTTGGTCACAGATTTGGATTGATGTCTGAGCTTCAAGGCTTCCTTCCCTCTGGCCGTGGACTTCTGAAGAAACCTGTGAAATTTCTGAAACAGACGTTAGATGGGGTTAGAGTTTCCAAATATGTTAGAGAGCAAGGCTTCAGGAATAGAAATTTACATAGTTCTACACATATGGAAGAGTCAAAGACTTTCCCCGCAGTTCTCCCCCCCAACCTTTTTTAAAAAATGCATTTGGTTGTTTCAGGGTCCCAATATGCAGCTCAGATTCGTGGTAATTCTCCTGCTTTCAGCCTCCCCAGTGTTGGGATTATAGACATGAGCCAGTACACCCAGACTCCAGCCAGCTCAGTCCGCTCTGGGGATGGGGCTAGCATGGCATGTGGTGCTGGGGATTGAACCACGGTCCCTGTGCTTGTCTAGGCTTGCCTAAGCAGACACTTTAGTCTGCTGAGC